CCACAACACCTTAATCCTTATTTATCTTGATATACTGTATATACCTGGATATACTGTATATATATTGTTTATTCTTCTTAATGCACCTTTTTCCTCCTTTGCACCTTCTTTAATTACTATGCCAATATGTGACCAGTGAATTTCTCCGCTGTGAGATCAATAAAGCTCATCTAATCTAATCTAACACCAGAGGGCCAATCAGGAACTAGCTTTGGGTCTAGATACGACCGAGGCGGCGAGGAAGTGGGGGCAAGTTTGTGTGACAACGGAGGGACATGAGGGCCAAAAAGAGCGGGGATCCAGGTGGAAAAATTGTCCCCGTGTTCTCGTGCACCTCGCTCTTCTAGCTGCTCCATCTTCACCAGTCGTTTTCCACAATGGAGGTCAGACAAACAAAACAAGCCGGTAAGGAGATATGCATAGAGTAGAGCGGATGCAGATTTGACCAATCAGAGGCCTCCTGTCTGCGGTCGCCTATAATTTGGGAAAGGTGCAGCAGAGTGTCTACGGAAGGGGGCGGGGTCACACTTGCGTTAGCTGCGACACACACAGATGACCTGGTTTGAGTATAAATCAGCCTTCAGTGTGAGCGGCCATCTGCTGAGGCCCACTGGGGTTCAAGGAGACAGAAGCAGACATAGAAAAAGAAGCATAGATACAAAAGGCAGCCCGATCCAGGAAACACAGCCAGACAGACGAGCTCCGAGCCATTTTATTTATGGTAATAAAAAATAAACAAAAAAGCTGCATGTTAATAAGTAGCCTTTGTTTTTTAATCTTGGTTTAATGATGCTGAGCTATTAAGATCCTTAGATGTTAAAGTAGAACCATGTAAACCCAGGAACAGCAAGTTAAAGCTAAAGGTACGAAGAAGTTTAAAGCCTTTAAAGTGATTAATGACGCTCCAAGCTGGAAGACGGGAAAGAAAACGACCACAAACAATGTAAGCGTTACATCTAACATGGAAAACAAGGTGTTTTTATCAAAAGAAATCCAAAATTTAACATTTTGCTTCCATTTAAAGAGCTGTATGTGTAAGAAAGAAAAAAAATTAGGTTCCTCTTCCAATAGCAGGACAACAAACTAGCAACCTGCGGTGAAAAAATGACCTTTGAGTATTGGAGATTGCTGTTCAAAGATCTGCTTTCTTTCCTCACTTGAGCTGGGGTTCTTTTTTTTCAAACAAAAAAAACTGAACAGCATTTTAGTGTTTAAATGCACAAAGCTACCTGAAAGGATTCACAGTATCTATCATTTCTATTTCTACAAACTGATAGTGCTGAATTTTGGATGAAAGCCACACAAAAACATTTGGAAAACCATTTTCCTTCAGCTTCACAGTTACAAGCAATTCTGCGTTAAACTTTTACATCAGATTAAAAGGAAAACCATAAAGGTTTGCTGTTAATGGATTGAAACGTCCAACGTTAATCCAAATCTCTTAAATAATCCCAATCTGAAGCACAATTTTTGGTCCAAAAAGTTTCGTTTTTATGTGAAGCTAAAAGAAATACATTTAGACATCTGCAGTGATAAATATGCCTACAGACTGATTAGACTATAATCTGGTAAAAACCTTTTTGCTGGTTTGATTCTAGGTTGCAGAAATGCAGAAACATAACTGGAAGAATTTAATTAAGTAAAACCAGAGTAAATTACTCTTATGTTATAATTTTTTTTACTATTAAAGTTTTTGTCTTCTTTATTTAAACTTACCGTAAATGTTTTATCACATCGGACTACTTTTAATATCCAAATACACAAAATGGAGATTTCAAATGATGATTTAATCGATTAAGGTAAAAAGCTATCAGAAGCTAATTTACCTTCCTGATTAAAGGATGAATTCATTGATTAACCAATATTTGGTATTATTTAATTAGCTATAACCAGTCTGGATTACTCTATTAACCGCTATGTTTAAGAAATCATTTTGGTAGAACCGTACAACATAAAATAGGCCAAAAGATGCAGCCAATCAGCTTTTTATGCTCGACTCTAAATAGAAAAAATTTTACCTTTTCAGTCTTTAAAGAGATAAACTATTTCAAAAGCTTAGAGGCTCCTTGTGAGGCATTATCTGCATATTGACAAAATAGAAAAGAAGAGTGGCTGGTTTATCAAAATTACTTAAAGAATGCATCGATAATTCATCCAGGAGGTCCGAAGTTCTGCATGAGAGTCAGTATCGTAAGTAGGGCTGAAACAATCCGATTATCGATTATTAACATAATCGACAACTAATTTAGTAATCGATTAATCGTTAACTGGGGTATAGAGACTCTAAAACATGCCTTTAGCTGACAGAGCGACCCACTTAGACCAGGATTTATACAAAGTATGAAAAAAATGTATAATTGTTTTGCATTTAAGAAAAAAAAAGTTTTCATGTGTCGATCTGCTCTCTAATCCAGAACTCCTCAAGTTGAAAAGTTTTATTTTCACCTGATTTAATTATCAAAACACTTCTCTAAGGAACCTTTGGCTACCTAAATATTAATCGATTCATCGAAACAATAATAATCCATTTACAAATAATCGTTAGTTGCAGAGGTAATAGTAAGGACTCATGAATCAACAGTGAGGAAATGACTGGGCTAACGAGGTTTTCATCAGAAAGTTTCAGGAGCAAATTTCTGACAAGAAAGAAAACAAAAAATCATGATAGTCTGAAAACATTGGAAAAATTGTCCTGTGGATTTTTGTGAACGTAAAAATGGAGAAAGCTAACGCTGCGCTTCAGGCAGAGCACATCATTCTAAAACAGTTCCTGGGGGGCGTATCCAGTGGCGGTTCTAGACCAAATGTACCAGGGGGCCAACAGGGGGCCAGCGTGTTTTCATGGGGGCCCAGAAAAGGATGAAATAAAAAACAGGGAAATGGATTCCAATATATTAAGAGAGCTGCATGAAGGGAAATTTCTATTCATTTAGGTTTAATTAAAATTGTGATAAGGCTCTTGGTTTGATCCAGAAGAAGCTTCCAGCAGCAAACTTTTTTATTTTTCTGACCAAATTAGCTAATTTCATTGGCTAGACGCTGCTCAACTAGCCTGACGTAGTCCGACTCAATTCTAGTCAGAATGAGTCTGATGCTGCTCCATAGAGCTGTGATTATGGGGCGTGTTTCCAATGAACCAGGAAAAAAAATGCCTCTGCACTCAATTGGATAGACCTACAACCAATAAGAGCAACGGAGTGCGTGACGTATGTTAAGC